CAGGAATTGTTGGCGCAAGTAGTACAAGCGCGTTTCAAGTCAGACACCCGCGACTCTCGTTGATAGGACATTGGACACATCTTTCTAATTTTTTTGCGAGCGAGTCGATTATCAGCGTAACCATGGCAAGATGATATAAAGAAACAAGTTTCCTATTAAAACAACTAATTGAGAAAAAGATATTAATATAAAGTTGTTTTAGTTTTTATTTTATAAAATTAAAAATTTTTAATTTGTGTCAAAATAATTATTAAAAATCTCTGAAAGAAACAAACAAAACGTGATAAGGGTAGTCGCAAACATTGCGACAATATTTTCGTAAGTTTTCCGCAGGAATTGTCGGCGCAAGTAGTACAAGCGCGTTTCAAGTCAGACACCCGCGACTCTCGTTGATAGGACATTGGACACATCTTTCTAATTTTTTTTGCGAGCGAGTCGATTATCAGCGTAACAATGGCAAGATGATATAAAGAAACAAGTTTCCTATTAAAACAACTAATTAAGAAAATGATATTAATATAAAGTTGTTTTAGTTTTTATTCTATAAAATTAAAAATTGTTAATTTGTGTCAAAATAATTATTAAAAATCTCTGGGAGAAACAAACAAAACGTGATAAGGGTACTCGCAAACATTGCGACTATATTTTCGTAGATTTTTCGCAGGAATTGTCGGCGCAAGTAGTACAAGCGCGTTTCGAGTCGGACGCTTGCGACTCTCGTTGATAGGACATCGGACACGTCTTTCGAGTTCTTTTTGCGAGCAAGTCGATTATCAGCGTAACAATGGCGAGATGATATAAACAAACAAATTTTATATTAAAACAACTAATTGAAAAAAAGATAATATGACATTAATATAAAGTTGTTTTATTTTTTATTCTTAAATTTATAAAATTAAAAATTTTTATTTCTTGTCAAAATAATTATTAAAAATCTCTGGAAGAAACAAACAAAACGTGATAAGGGTAGTCGCAAACATTGCGACAATATTTTCGTAGATTTTTCGCAGGAATTGTCGGCGCAAGTAGTACAAGCGCGTTTCGAGTCGGACGCTTGCGACTCTCGTTGATAGGACATCGGACACGTCTTTCTAGTTCTTTTTGCGAGCAAGTCGATTATCAGCGTAACAATGGCGAGATGATATAAACAAACAAATTTTATATTAAAACAACTAATTGAAAAAAAGATAATATGACATTAATATAAAGTTGTTTTATTTTTTATTCTTAAATTTATAAAATTAAAAATTTTTATTTCTTGTCAAAATAATTATTAAAAATCTCTGGAAGAAACAAACAAAACGTGATAAGGGTAGTCGCAAACATTGCGACAATATTTTCGTAGATTTTTCGCAGGAATTGTCGGCGCAAGTAGTACAAGCGCGTTTCGAGTCGGACGCTTGCGACTCTCGTTGATAGGACATCGGACACGTCTTTCTAGTTCTTTTTGCGAGCAAGTCGATTATCAGCGTAACAATGGCGAGATGATATAAACAAACAAATTTTATATTAAAACAACTAATTGAAAAAAAGATAATATGACATTAATATAAAGTTGTTTTATTTTTTATTCTTAAATTTATAAAATTAAAAATTTTTATTTCTTGTCAAAATAATTATTAAAAATCTCTGGAAGAAACAAACAAAACGTGATAAGGGTAGTCGCAAACATTGCGACAATATTTTCGTAAGTTTTCCGCAGGAATTGTTGGCGCAAGTAGTACAAGCGCGTTTCAAGTCAGACACCCGCGACTCTCGTTGATAGGACATTGGACACATCTTTCTAATTTTTTTGCGAGCGAGTCGATTATCAGCGTAACCATGGCAAGATGATATAAAGAAACAAGTTTCCTATTAAAACAACTAATTGAGAAAAAGATATTAATATAAAGTTGTTTTAGTTTTTATTTTATAAAATTAAAAATTTTTAATTTGTGTCAAAATAATTATTAAAAATCTCTGAAAGAAACAAACAAAACGTGATAAGGGTAGTCGCAAACATTGCGACAATATTTTCGTAAGTTTTCCGCAGGAATTGTCGGCGCAAGTAGTACAAGCGCGTTTCAAGTCAGACACCCGCGACTCTCGTTGATAGGACATTGGACACATCTTTCTAATTTTTTTTGCGAGCGAGTCGATTATCAGCGTAACAATGGCAAGATGATATAAAGAAACAAGTTTCCTATTAAAACAACTAATTAAGAAAATGATATTAATATAAAGTTGTTTTAGTTTTTATTCTATAAAATTAAAAATTGTTAATTTGTGTCAAAATAATTATTAAAAATCTCTGGGAGAAACAAACAAAACGTGATAAGGGTACTCGCAAACATTGCGACTATATTTTCGTAGATTTTTCGCAGGAATTGTCGGCGCAAGTAGTACAAGCGCGTTTCGAGTCGGACGCTTGCGACTCTCGTTGATAGGACATTGGACACATCTTTCTAATTTTTTTGCGAGCGAGTCGATTATCAGCGTAACAATGGCAAGATGATATAAAGAAACAAGTTTCCTATTAAAACAACTAATTGAGAAAAAGTTATTAATATAAAGTTGTTTTAGTTTTTATTCTATAAAATTAAAAATTGTTATTTCTTGTCAAAATAATTATTAAAAATCTCTGGAAGAAACAAACAAAACGTGATAAGGATAGTTGCAAACATTGCGACAATATTTTCGTAAGTTTTCCGCAGGAATTGTTGGCGCAAGTAGTACAAGCGCGTTTCAAGTCAGACACCCGCGACTCTTGTTGATAGGACATTGGACACATCTTTCTAATTCTTTTTGCGAGCGAATCGATTATCAGCGTAATAATGGCAAGATGATATAAAGAAACAAGTTTCCTATTAAAACAACTAATTAAGGAAAAGATATTAATATAAAGTTGTTTTAGTTTTTATTTTATAAAATTAAAAATTGTTAATTTGTGTCAAAATAATTATTAAAAATCTCTGGAAGAAACAAACAAAACGTGATAAGGGTAGTCGCAAACATTGCGACAATATTTTTGTAAGTTTTCCGCAGGAATAGTCGGCGCAAATAGTACAAGCGCGTTTCAAGTCAGACGCCGGCGACTCTCGTTGATAGGACATCGGACACGTCTTTCTAGTTCTTTTTGCGAGCAAGTCGATTGTCAGCGTAACAATGGTCGACAATGGGAGTTGGAAAAAAATCGCGTTCCAGGTATCTCTCTCAGATAAACGTCGCTATAAAAGACCGTGAATGGGCCGGGTATTAGCGCCACTAAAGCGTCGTCTTGCGCCGCTCTCGCGTAATCTCCGTCGAGATTACGACATTCGTCCGTAGAATCCCGTGGGAACGGAGCACTTCTTTCCGCCGGAGAAGTTCTCGCTCTTCAGCATATCGATTCGAGCTGATGGAGATCATATCGCACGTCAGGGATAGCAATTACTTTGACGATTATTGAATTCTTTCCGCGTCGTTAATTTAATTGTTATTGAGACAATATCTTTTTTGTACGTCGAGGAGTCTATAAGGAACCGAATTAATTTTAATTTTTATGTTCTTTGATATGCAATAACACTATAAAAAATAATAATAAATAATATATAAAAAGGATCTATATTTTATATGTATATATACGTATAATTAATTGAGCGTGGACAATTAAAACAAAATAATTTTTTAAAATTTTGAAATTAAAACTGGGAGGAGGAAATTTATTATAATAAAATATAAAAACGCCACATATATAAACAAATAATTTTTAAATAAAATGCTACTTTCTAGTGCATATAAATGCACTGTTTGTCACGAGTCAAATTCTTATACGTACATCACATACGTTACATTTTCTACATATATTTGCCGTATCTCCTGCCACAGCTTGGAACATAGGTCGACAATACTGAGCTCTGTTTGCCTTTATAGAACACGTACCGAAAATATCGCTACATACTTCGGATACAGGCCGGGTACGCCCGGGATCGTCGACGATATGAACAAACAAGTCACGCCGGCGACACGACGGCACCGTAAACTTCGCTCGAGGCGAAACAACGATATCTACATAAGGATTCTCACGGGATCTCTTCGTGCGCGCCTCGTGTCAGCTCGCGCCGCCGTCTCTCGAGGTGCGCGCGCGGAGTCGATTCTCTCCCTTTCTCAGATGTTGGCTCACACAGCCGCACAGGTGGCCGCGATTGGAACGGTTGCACGTGTCGCCGTTGCCGAATCGGAATATTTCGCCGTACGCTGAAAGCTTTTATCGGTGTCGCTTTGCCCTCTCGCGCGAAAGTCTTCCCTGCGAGAACGCGATCTTTCCTCGAGCTTTACTGCGTCTTCCCACGCGAAGGAAGGAGGAAGCACGAACGAATGGAGCGCGTGCATTGTTGTCGTAGTCGTCGTCGTCGTCGCGACAATAGCCGAAGGCAATTTCCATTCGACATTCGAACGACATATCGGGATGAGATTCCCGTCGGCTTGTTTGCGTTTACCTCTTCCTCGGCTGTGAATGCACCGAGTTGGCGATGAAAAAGAAAGCTTGGATGCTCGCGCCAGTCAAGTGAAAGCAGCCGCTGTTGCTTCACCTTCTCGCCTTCTTTTTTCTTCTCGGTGATTGTTCCGCTTATTATAACACAATATTATATAGGAATATAATATACACCTTACAGCCTCTTTGACGCAAAAGTATATGCGATTAATTATCACGTTAATTTGCACGTGAATTTTCTTTGTGAAACAAATACAAAAATTATATTTTTATTATATATTTAATTACGATTTTTATATCCGTTTCTTATACTTAATATCTAGTTTTGTAAGAAATTAATTTTATTATATTTTATTACATCAGCCTCATAAAAATTAAACTAGATAATTCTTGCAATTAGCTAATTTGATATTAAAATGAGTCGATCAGTTCCTCAAAAAGTAATTATATCTTTTTCCAATTTCCTATGGCTATACTAATTGTTTGAGAAAAATTCATTTGAAAAATGCGCATGTCACTCATATATTTTCTCGCTTTCTGTTTACAGTGCCACCGGCGAAGCCGATAATCTATGATGCGAAAAGGCGAGACATGAGCAAACTCCTCGAAGCATACCCGGAGGGAGCCGACTTGTTCCTGGTTTGCGAGGTGCACGGCGGTAAGTGCTGGCTTTAACATTAACATAACTTTATGCGCGCTTTTAACATCTCTTTTAACGAACATCCCGAAAAAGGCACACAATCGCATTGTAAAACTTTTTAATATTCAATTCCAATTATACCTTGCATTACAATTCAGGAGAGGATTAAAACCCTCTTGAATTTAGATTAACGATAAGGTCTTGTACTCAGTTTCACTATACTCAAGAAGCTTAGCGCAAAGCCCCGAAGCCAACATAAATTACGGTAGGTAAAATCCGAGGTTCGAAAGAAACAAACCGATCGTTTTCTGCTATTTAATTATGCACGATGAAAAAGAAAACGTACTAATTTTTACATAATTGAGGACGGTTTCTGCCGACAAAAAAAAAGGTCTCTCTCTCTCTCTCTCTCTTCGGCTCCTGAGCATTTTTAAGAGTCTTTGAAAATCGTCGAGTCGCTGTCAGAAAAACGACGTGAAGGTGTAAACGTATGTTATGCGTGCCGAAACGAAAAATCCTATCTCGTCGAAGAAACGCGGGACAATATTCACGGGCGCGACGCCAATTCCATTTAGGGTCCTCGACACAACGCACTCGAAAAGGACGCGAACGGGAGCGGGAGATGGATCGCTAGATCTGAGTCTGGTAAGAGCGAGGGAAGCTTAAAAGAGAGCTCGCCCGCTTTTTCTCCGGTAGGCATCCATTTGACGACGACGACGACGATGACGCTGGGCGTCGCGTCGTGTCGCCTCGCGCAACGAGCGAATCCATCCTGGACCTACGCCAATTTCCATCCTCCCCGAAACTGTCGTCGTTCCAATGCACCCACCAGGAATCGTGCGCTCGCTTCCGTTGTCGTCGGAAATAAATTATCGCGGTCGAAGCCCTTCCGCGCAATAACTACGCCTTTAATCTTTTCACAGTATCGGGTCTTTTTTATTCGTTAGAGAAAAAAAAAAAGAACACGATTCTTTTAATTTTAAATTGTTGCACTAGCAAGTTTTATAAATATGTAATAACTTCATTTAAGCACAATCTTGATTCCGAAAGTTGCTTTAAAACTATAGTTAGTTAGACAGTATATAACTTCTTCGTTTTAGTAAAGATTTTAAAACGATAACGAAAGAGTACTCGACCTTAAAGAATTAGAAGAGGAAAAAATGTCGATGTTTCTTACTTCGAAATATATATTACATGAGAATTTCGGAGGGTGACGTTTTTCTTTTCCGTCCTCTTGAGAAAAGTCTGATAACGGAGTAAGAATACTTTTATTTCTTTCTATATTAACGTCTTACGGAAATGGTAAATGTAGGAAGAGATGAGAAGTTTGGTATCCGAGAAAAATATATATCAAGAAGAAGAGGACGGAAATGACCTCGCAATTCGTCACGTTGTTGTGTAATCAACTTCTTGAAAATTCGCCAAAGTCGTCTCAGAAATTTATAGAAACATCTAGCTTTCAACGATACAAGGCACATCCTTATTTATCAACAGATTTTTAAAAGCGTTTGACCAAAACTATTTAATGATTATCTTCATTATCGAGCACGAGATATTAATATAGATCTTTGAAAAATTTTAAACGAGCTCTTAGCTCGTGAAATTTTCTGAAATCCCGTCTCACGGCGATGAAAAGATATCTTTAATAAAAGTACGAAACAGAGTCGATGGATGGCGGGGCGAGAATGAACTTCCTTGGAAGGCTCGAAAGCAGAGCGCGGGATGAAAATGAAAAGCGCGCTGGCAGAAGATTAACGTACAGTTGACTTCGGATTTCGTCGTCGCTGTGCAGAGCACGATGAATCCGTTGGATCCGTGCCAATCTCCGCTAACATTGCCCGAGCCACTATTTCCAGTTTAACACGAGCCACCAATCTCCCTCTTCTCTCGCGCGATTCCATCGCGGGATTGCGAATTGTTTCGAACTAAGTTTCATTTCCCGAGAATGTTTCGATGCTTTCCGTGAGCCAGATTACTATGGCATGTCGCGCGGACAAAGTATGTCGCGTGTCGATATTATTGAATTTCAACAAATGGCGGATAAATAATTAATAGCTCGACTCGATGTCGCCGGCTGCATCTATTGAAATACTCATTAAGCTTCTGTAATCAAAAAATCTACTGATACCGTTTTGAATATACATACATACATACATACACACACACACACACATATATATATATATATATATATATATATATATACACTATGTAAACTGGTACTTTTATGTATTCTGGTACGTACCTCGAGGAAAAACTCTCTCGGAAAATGAAATCATCGAGAATCAATAACATACTCGGTCCCCTTTGAATACTAATTCTCAATTTGCAATCGTAGAAATTCTCTCGATTTTCAATTCTTTCCATTTCGAGATAAAAATAATCTTCGTCTCAAGATTATTACAATATAATAATATAAAACGTTATCACAAAAAGCTTACCGATATACGTGACTTATTAATATTCAAAGACTCGGCCGCGATATTTTTCAAGAATTTCAAGGATCAACGATTGCAGTCGCACTTCACATTCTACGCAACATGCCAATGATTTTTAAAAGTATTGCACGTCCTGGCTCACTCGCGTCTTTCTATCTCGCCTACCTATTTATTGTTACGCTCCTATTGTTGCGTTTTCTCATGCGCTTCTTATTTATTATTACGTCCCTATTGTTGCGTCCTGTTGAGGATTCCTGGGAGATTGCGCGCGGTTCATTTAGTTTTTGTTGCGAAACGTTTTTTTTTTTTGTGCTAAATAGAAAATATTTATCAGTATATTGTTACTTAATTATATTATAAAACAAGAGAAATGTTAATAAAAACTTCTTTCTGTTAATTTTTTTTTCTAAATTTATACGCGGATATTTATTATACGAACGAAACGTAAATAGCTTTCGTTCACAAAGAGTGTGAAATTACTCGGCACAAATTTCAACGAGACGGTATAATTTCCCAGTCGTCGTAGCGCGATGCGTTTTTGCAGATGCAGCCGCAATTTCACCTTTCGCCGCGTTTCGGCGTCGAGCGGAAACGGGCTCCTCGGGACAGGTGATTTGTCACACGAGAACGAAGCGAGCTCGCTTCGCCCGACTTGCTTCGAAAGTTTTTCATGCACGCGTACAGGTAGCTGATGACTTCGAGGCGGAAAGAGCTTCGTGACGAGACACGAAATGCGACAGTAAAGAAAAGGAGAAGCGAAGTAGTAAGTAGGGTCGCCGCCGCGACTTCAGGCAGAAGATGCGATGAGAGAACTTTCGGCGCATTTATATTTCCGTCCCTTTTCGTATTACGTTTTTTTTTTTTTTTTTTTCATCTTTCTCTCTTTCTTTTTATTTCTAGTAGGAAAACTCACTTTGCCCTTACTCTACTGATCTCTTCGGGAACAGCTGATTGCTCGTATTTTTCATTCGTCGAGAAATCCAGAGCGCCACTTGTTTGCACGGCTTTTCCGCTCGTTGCTTCCTCGCAATTTTGCCCTGTTTCCTGATTTTTAACATATGTATATACCTCGTTTATTTATTTTTTTTTCACTAAAATTCTCTGCATAATTAATTTTTTCTCCTTTTATTATCTTTGCATTTATCAAATATTTTGCTAATTAGAAAATGCAGATTTAAATCCTACATTTAAACAAATTTAATTGAACATAAAATAACAGTTTTATGTGCATATAGCCACATCATTACATACATTAATATTATATATTCATTCGGCCAAACAAGATATATATGCACTCACATATGTACATATTTATGGCGCTTGTGCAAATATTTGTCACGGTAAAAGCTGCAGATTGCACTTTTGTGAGCTTATTTTCCTTGCAGCGTCAATGAGCGCGCGGTAATTACGCCTGGTTTTTTGCAGACAACACGAAAACCTCTTTCAACCTGAACCGGGCAAAAGCGTCCGCGTACGCGTGCATATTAGCGTCGACTCGCATTTAACACCTGCGTCATGAAATATATAATACGCCAATTTCATAATGCATCGTTCGCCGCCGCTGTGGCAATTCGCGCACACATTAAGGGAGGGAGGAAAAGTTTGTAAGGGAGGATGGCCCCGAAGAGAAACGCGAGTATTTTTTGCGGCTTAGTTCGTGGGATTTTGGGCGAACGTCGATGCGCGAAATGTACGCGGGAAAATCGCATCGGATATATATACAAAAGGAAATAAAACGCCGCGGAATAACGCGCTGCGCGGAATACCAAAATTGTCATTACGAAGATATATCGCGCTCGTGAAGTATTCCGCCCGAATAATAATCGTTTCGCGATGCTCCCAATGGTTATTAATTCCCTGTGTTTTGGGGAATTAACGGCTTTCATCGACGATATCAATAAATCGGTATTTTGTGAAATTTTGCCTTTGAAAAGAATTTTGTCGATACTGATCGTACCGTGTGTGCAATTTCACACGTTAATACGAATCGTTTTGCAAGGTTATATCTGTATATACTAATTATTTTACAGGGTATCCCATAGACAATTGCTGAAACTGATCAGCTGTCATCTTTTAATGCATGCAGTTATTGAGAAAACAAAAATTGTGTTAAAAAGAGGAAAGTCTACAATTTTTAATTGATATAAATAAAATGTTTGTATGTCAGTTTAGTTTATTGAAAAAAGTAATGAAAAAAGTGCTAATTCTGTTCTTTTTTTAAAAACTCGTAAAAACTTTTTCTGACATGTCATTTTTAATGTTATTGATGATCCTTTTAATAGCTGCTATTAAATCTGGCACTGTTGAAAATATTTATCATTAGTTTATGTAATTTTATGTAATTATTAGCACTTTTTTTATTACTTTTTATCAATAAAATAAACTATTATACAAATATTTGATTTATATCCATTAAAAACTGCAGACTTTTCTCTGTCCAAGACAATTTTTGTTTTCTCAATAACTGCATGCATTAAAAAATGACAGCTGATTAGTTTCAGCAATTTCCTATGGGACACCCTGTAGTAATATTAAAATATAGTGATATATCATTTATTATAATAAAATTTATTATATTAT